TTTATATTTTATCATTTTCTTCAATATTTGTGATACCAGAGGATTATTTTCCTTTTCAGAGATGGTGAATAGTATCATTAATCCTACACTAAATATTATTAAGCATGTATAAACATGCTATGTTCCATCCTGAAAAATGTATTGTACACATGTTCATAATCAACAGGACACGCCACCTATCTTTTTGGCAAGCTCAGTTTGTACTTAACACTGAATATCCTATTTTCACTCTAACACCATATTTATATAATTTGATTGTGTGCCCCTAACATATTACATGTCAATAAGAACAGACTTTATAGCAAAGATTTTATTTTTCTCAGTTTATATATATCGGGACACAAAAACCTGCAAGTAAGAGATTTCCAAAACACTTTTTTTCAGTAGCTCCTAAGGTAGGTTTTTTAGAATTATGTTTTCAAAAGAAATTGAAAACTCGCTCTTTCTAAACATTAAGACAAATCTACCTTTGCTATTTCCTAGAGGCTTGAAATTTACTCTGAGTTTTAAAAAGTTCTCTGAGTTGGAAAATACTCAATTGTCTGAAACAAAATTGAGGGAAAAGTCGAATCCCTATATATTGCAAGACCTTATTTACTAGGATTTTTTTTTTCACAATATTGAGTCTTTCTGTTGTGGTTTACTTTTTGGGATTGGAGGATTATTTTGTTTTGGGGCACACCTGGCTATTCTCAGGGCTTACTCCTGCCCCTGTGCTCAAGGATCACTCCTGATGTTTCCCTGGGGACCCTATGGGGTGCCTGTAATCAAATCCACATCTTACATATGCAAGGCTAGTGCCCTACCCACTGTGCTATGGCTCCAACCCTGAGTCTTTCTCTTAATTGTTATTGCACCCGTCACTCTCTCATGTCATATTCAGCAATGAACAGTTGATTTGTCTTGATTCATTTAGGTGCAGTACCACGATGGCCATGGGGAACCACTAAAGAGCTATAATTTGTAATACCTAATACAAAATGTTACCCAGTGTTACCTCTTGAATTAGTTTACTGTCCTCTGCAGTTTTTCCTCAACTATTAGCACTATACAGACCTGCTAGAGAGTGTTTGGTGATTATCTTGATATTTGATATCTTGATATCTTGAGTCTCCTGCCCCCGCACCTGGCTGTCCTCACCGGGGCCCCTTGGAGGGGGGCGGGTTGAGTTTTCCTCCCCACCCCGAGCAGAGCCCCAGCAGCCGAAGACCTCCAGAACCAGCAACAGCCATTCTGAGACCACTCTCCACACATACGGACAAGCCTCATGCATGAAGGAACCAGCAGAGGAACCCAGGCATGCGGGTCCCCGGGCTGAGATCTTCAAGCCTGCTCGGATCCGGACTGGGCCTTCTTAGATCCACAGACATCCAAAATTTCATCAAAATGCATGTCTGCTTTTAAAATTTATGGAGGTATCAGTTATCACTATACGACATCATTTAGAACACTAAATAGATAGATCTGCTACAAATAACATTTGTGAAAGTGATTCGAGCACATATGATTGTCTGCTACTACTTGACACAAATGCACCTATATTTTGAATATAAATCCAGTACAACCATGGTTCCCAGGGATAATAACTAATGAGATGCCAAAATTTCTTTATTTTCGATAGTTTACCACGTTTTACTACTCAATAAGCATGCATTGTGTGGATATCACTACCATATATGAGCTAAGACTTTTCAATTTTGTGTTAGGTTTTGATCTATTAAAAAAGTTCATCAGATCATCTTGTTGGGTTTAATTTTATTTAATTCTGAAAGTGAACGCACTAGATGAATCTCCTTGTGTCTACTTTGTAGTCTGCAGGAGATATTGTTACCCTCATTCTTTCTAAAATTATTAGTTTAGATTTTTCTCTCTAGAATATATTTTTCCTCAATTCTGTTTTTTGTAAAAATCACTCATTAATTTTTATATGTAATATGATAGTAAAAATTTTAAATTCATGTTTCTGGGTTCTTGCCTTCACACAGATGATCTGGGGTTCAGTCCCTGTCGTTTCATGTGGTCTCCTAAGCATCACCTAGAGTGAACCCTGAGCACAGAACCATGAATGAGTCCTAAGTAGAGCTGGGTGTGGCCCAACCCCACTAAAAAATAAAATTAAAAATAAAATTAAGGTTTCTGTTTAAAATGTGATTGTATGTAAAGTGAAAAAATAGAAGACTTTTGTCATCATACTGGTACTACAATCACTTTTCATCAACACATATATCTAAACACTCTGCACATGTTTTTATAATCACTGCTTATATGATCACAGCAAGCCTGCAGAGTAGGTATTATTATTCCATTTTAAAGATGAAAGAGCAGTCTCAAGAGGCTTAGGTGTCTTAAGTAAAATCACCACTGCTAGGATGGGATAGTCTCAGGCTGGAAGTCAGGTGAGTCTCATTACAAAGCCCTTGCTACTACTCATTTTTAATTTAGATTACAAATCTGGCATACTTTATATTCAATGATTAAAGATATGGAAAACTCTCAGAATTGTTTGTAGTTAATGTTTCATGTTAAAATTAAGAATACAGGGACTTACTCTGCTCTATTTCTTTAAAATGTTGGGCAAAATGTATTCTATGCCCACTTTAGAAATCAGAGAACGTGTTGCCCAGCATTGAACAAAGGCAGAGGTTGAAAGAAAAAAGGTTCTTCATGCAATGAAAGAAGAGACTGTCTTTTTGGATTTGGGGCCAGACCCTGAGGTACTCAGGGTTTACTCTTGGCTCTTTGCTCTGGGGCGGGGGTTCAGGGCTATATGTGGGTCGGCTTCATGAAAAGCAAGTACCCTTCCACTTGCCCCGAGAATACTTCTATTAGAAGTCACCCTCCGTAGAGAAGGATGCAGTGACCCCAAACAGTGATGATTTAGAGAAGAATGAGCTGTCTTTGTGAAATAGATCCCTAGCCATCTTCATTGCTGTATTAGATTTAATATAATGCCAATGTTAAAATATTTCCATTGGACACTTTCTGACCATTCAGTAGAGAAAAAGTGTCATTTTCACAACACAAACTCAGGTGAAATTCTATTTGTGTCTTAGCTATCACAGTTTTTCATAGTGATGCAAAATGATGAGGCTGAAAGTAAGGCTGTTTGCAGGTGTCGTCTCTTGCCCTCAGTGTGGGTTTTTAGCTCTTAAAAAGAACATTTGAGGGAAACTTTCTGTTTGATGTGGATGGTGGTATGAGTTATTTATGTATTGTGGAGTCAGTGTGATTTCTCAATGAGGAGAAAATTCTCAGATAATGATCTAGCAGTTGAGCTCAGGTTAAAGTGAATTACAGTATAGCTCTCAAAACCAAGTAGTCATATTCAGGACTTATGCCCATATTTGTAGGGGAGAGTGCTGGTATTTATATATATATACATATATTTATATATACATATGTGTGTGTAATTTTATTTATTTTTCTTAAGTTAGAAAGGGCATGAATGGCATCTCTACACTACTACTTCTCACCCCATGTGGCCAGGGCTTGGTCATCAATCTTCTTAGCCAAGAGACACTTTCCCTTTTACCCAAAATGTTACTAAAACCACGAAGGTGGAAAGGAAAATGACTATTCATTAATGTCCAACACTGATTCAAATGGCATACAGGCCGCAGCACAGCATTAAATAAACCTTCCTATAAAGCATGAGTCAGAAATGGCTCTGTCAAACTTGTTTTTGATATGTGGCTGTTTTAGACATCAAGGCAGTTTGTAAAATAAAATCCTTTCCAGACTTTATATATTTGAAATGGAAATGAATATACTTTCTGTTTTATATGAGCAATTTTAATAATGCTTTTCTTTTAGTAGCTAAATGTTATATTTTATTTTTTAATTTTTCAAAGTACTTTCACCAAAAGTATAGTAATCTGAAGGGAGTAATCTACTTAGTATCTGAGAATGATTTTCTTACTCTCTTGATAGATATATAGTATATTTACATGGGTATTTTATATGTATTTCTCCCTTGTATGTGTCACGCATTTTATGTGAGTACATATATGGACAGATAGAATTATTGATATGAAATGCCCATTTAGAAAATACAAATTACATACATTTAGCTTCATAAATTCTATGAATTTTAATTTTTGTTCTGATATAGTAATTTTCTTACTCCTTATTTGGTGTTTATTACATTCAGATCTATAGCAACTAAGGTGGCATATTGTTCAGATAATGACTAGCACAGGTGTGGAGAAATATAGTAGTGAGTGATTATTCCTGGCATATCCACTTTTTATTTTGCAACATTCATTAGATGACTATAAGAAGAAGAAGTAAAATAGTATGTGGTTTCCTAGAATCATACCATTAGCTGCTGTTGTGTTTCCATGCTGCAATTTGGTTTTTAATGTTTGGCTACCAGGGAAAGGACTGATTTACAGAAAATACAAATTCTACCCACCATGATTAAGGTAAAGGTAAAGGCCCTCCTGTTGATCGTCGATTTGCTCAAGCGGGCCCAGTAACGTCTCCATTGGAGACTTTGTTGTTACTGTGTCTGGCATATCCAATACTCTCGGTAGCTTGCCGGGCTCTCCGAGAAGGGTGGAGGAATCGAACTCCGGTCGGCCATGTTGGCCGCGTGTAAGGCGAACGCCCTACCCGCTGTGCTATCGCTCCAGCCCACCATGATTACAATAACAAAAATACACTGTGAACTTAGCTATTCAGTTTGCTCTATTTTTTTTTAATTTACTTGATCACTTAACCAGCACATTTCCGGTACTTTATATGTTTACTACTAGGGATACAACTAAAGAGAGAGTAATATACTCATCTCCATGGAATATTCAGTTTCATGTGGGTCTCTGCTTTTATTTACCTCCTGTATTACTCTCTTATATTGATTTTTTAGGTTGTCTCTGACCATATGCATAAGACTAAGATTTAAAAATCACCAGAAAATTAGTTTCTCTGAGAATGGTAAATTCTTTAGAATGTCCATTGAAAGAAATGGAAATTTCTGAGTTCCTTTTGTTTGTCAATAGATTCAGATCTGGAAGGCCTCGGTGACCTCGGAACTCTTTATAGCAACATTGACCAGCAGCTCAATGAGACAATGAGACGACGCAGACACGCAGGAGAAAATGATTACAACATCGAGGTGCTGCTGGGTGTGGATGACTCTGTGGTTCGTTTCCATGGCAAAGAACATGTGCAAAACTACCTCCTCACCCTGATGAACATTGTGAGTGATGGCTCTGATTGGAACTTTTCAATTCTCTTTCTCTCTCTCTCTCTCTCTCTCTCTCTCTCTCTCTCTCTCTCTCTGTATCTCTCTGTCTCTGTCTGCCTGTCTGCCTCTCTATTTCTCTCTCTCTATTTCTCTCTCCCTCTCTCTCTCTCTGTCCTCCAGGATCACTCCTAATGGTCTTGGGTACCATGGATCTTATACCTTATGTGGTTCCAGGGATTGAACTTCGGTCAGTTGCATGCAAAGCAAGCTTCTTACCCACTGAATCATCTCCAAGGCCCCAATAACATTTTTGTTGTTGGTATCTTTTCAAAGCTATTCAAATACTTCCCAGAATGGTCTCTACATTCAAAATGTGCACATAATGCCATCAAATTCAAATATTTCTGAGTAACTCACATACGTGGAAAAAAGAGAAAGAAAGCATGAAGCAAAGTGGATTTTGGGGGTTTGTTTTCTGTTTGTTTTTTGATTAATCATCTAGTTTTCCATTGTCATCAAGAGGAAAACAAGAATGGAACTTTGATATTTGTTTGATTTTCATTTCATTCTGAGGAAAGTCAAAACTCTCAAGACTTCATTTACCTGCCTTGATGTAGACAATGAAGGATGACAGTTCTTTCAGGACCATTTGCACCTAGGAAGACAAAGATAGACTTAGGTCTGGTAAAGGCTCTGTGCATACTAAGAGCTATATTTTTCAGTGTTATTTCATTATACTAAAGAAGGTACTCATTTTCGGAATAGACTAAACTCTTGGCACAGTGATACACTAAAGTCATAAATTGAGGGATCTTTAAGTTTGTTCTTTATTACTTTTTAAAATTTATTTATTTATTTGCTTTTAGGGTCACACCCGGTGGTGCACAGGGGTTACTCCTGGCTCTGCACTCAGTAATTACCCCTGGCGGTGCTCAGGGGACCATATGGGATTCTGGGAATCGAACCCGGGTTGGCCACGTGCAAGGCAAATGCCCTACCCGCTGTGCTATCACTCCAGCCCCTGTTCTTTATTACTTTTCAAGAAACCCAGTAGTCCTCAAGGTCCTGCTGGCGTGGCCCCAAAACAAACACAAAAAAACCTAAAATTTTTTAAAAATCATTTTATTGATACAAATATTTAAGCTGCTGTGTTAAATAATTTTGCTTATTAAAATGTCAATTATAAAATTTATCTATGTGTTATCTATAAATATGAGATGAATATAGAAATTTAAACATATTTTTATTTGATTGCCACTAATTTCTGCTATTAAGAACAATTATCACATATATAACAAATTCCCAGTTTTGTGGAGCTATATCTTTGTGAATTATGTGATCTTCAGCTATTAGTAATGGTTGTTTTTGTATTACTTGCTCAGTATGTAATGAGCATGTTGTTATAAGCTCTTTGTGTTTGCTCAAATATCCCATTAATTTATTGAGAAAATTAATAATTACCTTGCTAATGATGTTGAGAAATTGTGTACTTGCTAGACATATGCATGCACAAGTGTTGTGTTACATATGTGAAAGTACAAACTTATGTTTTCATTTTTCTACATAAAATTTACTTCCAAAGTTATCTAAAACTTAAAAATTTCTACAGAAAGTCCTGGGGGTATAGTTTAGCAGTAAAACACATGTTTCATCTTCTTCCTAGGTTCGTTTCCCAGTATCACACACAAAAAAGCATTTGAGTACAAAAATTTCTATGGAGACACCATTCCCATTTTCTTCATTCATTCTGCCTCTGAAGTGCTTTTTCCTGCCAGTAGGAAAGCAGTCAATCAGTACAGATTTATTAAATCCATAACTGGTGATCAGAAGCACAACAGATTCTTGGGATAATACAGCAGAAATTTGTTAAGGAACTTACCCACACAGAATTCAAAATTTGTAGTAAAAGAAAATAACATGCTTAAGTTTAAAGCATGTTTGAACTAGAAAAGCTTGCTGTCATGAAGATATATTGTAGGTACTATTTAATAAATCCCATAAGACTTTAAAAGGGAGATATGATAATAATCATTCAAATGGCCAAGTGTTGAGAAAATTAAGCTGGGATTTAAATGAAGAGGCCAGAGTTCTGGTTATGATTAATCAAATCTAAAATGTGAACTTGTGCTAAGATTTAGACATCGCATTCTAAATCAGACAACTTGACTCATGCTTCACACATTCTCCTCAACTTTCCCTATAGGCGGCTTGAAGCATCATGGCTTGAAGACTGAATCTCTTCCTCTCATTCCCCACCTCCTCTACTCTATTCCTTACCCTCTTCCAGACTGTTAGATCCAAGTCACTGATAGAATTTTGCTTTTATCGATCTCAAATTTATCAAATAGGTAAGAGTTGGAAGCAGGAAGTAAATCATTAATGATAATCTAATGAAACTGCCTCTTACCTAGCAGTTAACTTCATCTCCTATGCTTGCAGTGCTTTCTGACTTCCCTGGGTCCTCTGAAGTCATTCTGACCAAACTGGAGTCCTCCCTACCTAATCACAGATGTGCTCTTCCCTTGTCACATAGGCTTAGAGAGAAACCATGGAAGAAAATTGATACCATTCTCTCTTGGGGCCCTGTAGAAAGCTCCATGGGTAGGAGATGTTTCTGCACATACAAACCCAGGGTATAATCCTCAGCACCACATGGTGTTCTTAGCACTGCTAGAAAAGACCCTTGATTGCAAAGCCAGAAGTCACCCCAGATTAGCACACCACAGGGTGTGGAACAGTAAGGGGGGAGGGAGTAATTCTATCTCCTTATCTTGATGAAGAGCTTAGTTCCTTAATCTCACTTGACTCTTTACCTTTTAGTTGGACACTCAGCAAATAAATAAATGACAGAGGAAGGCAGTGTTTAAGAAGAAAATTGTACTTTATTGAGTCATATTTTAAAAAGTATACTGCAATATAGGAATTATCACCTTTTTTCTTTTAGAGGAAACAGTGATATTGCAATGCTATTAAACTGAGGTAAATTTATAAAATTATTTATGATTTGTAAAAGCATTTTTAAATAATTATGACATGATGATGGTGAACACTGAAAGAAGATAGAATGGAGTTTTCTGGTTGGTGAACATATCAAGTTAGTGGACAGTGAGATCCCCCTCCCCTGTGCTGAAACAAACAAAATATGAAGGAGAAAATAGCCTAATAAGGAAAGGCAAGGTATTCCTAGCTTCCAATTTGTTCTTAGTACTGCAAAGTGAACACTATTGCTATTCCTTGGTATTAAGAGTAGCAACTTCTCAATGCCTCAGTTTTAGCCCCAGTAAGATGCCAGGAGAGTTCTAAAGATTGAAGGAGACCGAGAATCAAATGCCTGCAACTGAGAAAGTGTTTTGAAGACAAGCCATTCACATTTGTTTTCAGAGAACTAAGAGATCTTCCCACAATCTATTCTTTCCCCCTAATTCAACTAGAAAAAGAAATAGGAAGCTGATTGTGTATTAGGAAGGAAATACAGATTTCGCAAGTATCTACTATGAATCAAACCCAGGCAGGGGCTTTCCAGGAATAAAATAGCCAGTTTGTGGGAGATCCAATTAAGGATTCAAGTTTCCTATTCCCAAGTCAGGACCCCAGAGCCTGGCAAGCTACCGAGAGTATCTCGCCTGCACGGCAAAGCCTGGCAAGCTACCCGTGACGTGTTCAATATGCCGAACACAGTAACAACAAGTCTCATGATGGAGATGTTACTGGGCCCACTCGAGCAAAATCCATGAACAACGGGAGGACAGTGACAGTGACAGCAAAAAATACTTCAAAGTGTGCTGAGATTGGTACAGAACATGGACTGTGGTAGCCAGAGTCCACAGTCTCTCGGACCTGCAGCAGTCGGGGTGAATTGGAAGAAATAAGAGTGCTAACCCTACTTGAGCTGGTTTTGTTGTCAAGAGTAACTGAGAATGGGAATAGACACAAAGCCCTGCTTTCTTATTCAGATCATTCTCTCTCACAGACAAAAACTGGTTGCATTGAGAGAAATGGTAGAAGGAAAATCTCAGCCAATGCATTTGTGAGGAAAAAGGTGTTAGAGGAGAGAAGTAGCCAGACTCTGAGAACACTCAAGCCACTTTATGAAAACGATCATGTGAAGAAAATCTAAGGTCCCAATTAACAGTCAGCAAGCATCACTTTACCAGCCAATTCAGTAAGTCACCTTTGGAGTGGAATCTACATCTTGAGTAACCAACCACCTTAGGTGACTAACTGTCACTTAAGGTGGTTGGTTATTCAGGATGTATATCTAACACAGAGTTAGAGCAATGTTGCCAAATCATCCCCAAATTCCTTGTCCCTAGAAACTTTGATGGAGAATGAATACTGTTGCTTTAACACACAAAACAAAACAAAATAAAAACAACAGGGAGATGAGGAGAAGGAGGGGGGAAAAAGGACAAGAAAAAGGGGGGCGGGAGGAAAGAGTAGCTTAGGTAGAAAATTTTAGCTTTTTTTTTCTTTTTGGGTCACACGCCATCATTGCACAGGGGTTACCCCTGCACATGCAGTCAGGAATTACTCCTGGCAGTCCTCGGGGGACCATATGTGATGCTGGGAATCGAACTCATGTTGGCCGCCGTATGCAAGACAAATGCCCTACTCGCTGTGCTATCGCTCAGGCCCCATTGAGTTCTTTTTTTTTTTAATCTAAGCGCATAATTTAAGTGTGATATAAAAACACTTAAAACATACTGTTATGTGTTGAGAGTCACGGTCAAGGTCACGGTCCTCCCGTTGTTCATCGATTTGCTCGAGTGAACCCAGTAACGTCGAGAGTAAAGGCCCTCCCATTGATCATCGATTTGCACGAGCGGGCCCAGTAATGTCTCCATTGGAGACTTTCTTATTACTGTGTCTGGCATATCGAATACGTCACGGGGAGCTTGCCAGGCCCTGCCGTGCGGGCAAGATACTCTCGGTAGCTTGCCGGGCTCTCCGAGAGGGGTGGAGGAATCGAACTCGGGTCGGCCATGTTGGCTGTGTGCAAGGCAAACGCCTTA